TATATATATATATATATATACATATATATATAATACAAATATGCATATACATAATAAACAATACAATATCTTCCTGAAATTATTTGATATCAAGGGATTTAATACCAGTGAAAACATGATAGCTTCCTTCAGGTCCATAATGCTTTTCTCCTCTTGTTACATCGAAGACCTGACCTAAGATCGAAAGATATAGACCATTTTCCAAATTTGTGTATCGTTTCAGTTCATTCACAGTGAACACCTTTGGCTCGTTAGAGTTCCCATTTAATCCAAAATATATCGTGTCAGCTATACTCAACGTTTCATCCGTCAAATAAGAATTGATCTCTTCGATAAATCCACGTGAATATAAGAAATACGCAATTATTAATACTAGCGACAGCCAAAAATATTTGGAGAACATAATTATATTCGTTCTGAGATTCTCTCTCTGACATGAATAGGCTATTTCAATTTCTGGTCGATCTTCAATGATCTATCATTTTAGATTACAGATTTCTGTATTACCGGCCATAGATATATCGCAGTAATCATTACATTTGAAATTAGCACTAGATTGGGCACGATTTATAATTTTTTGGTGATTTACGCTCTTTGATTTTAATAAAAAAAAATCTATTATAAAAAAGTGGCTCCAGTGGTAAATTGATACAAATGACAAATGAATATGAAGTCGGGGTAATGCTTGATTTCGTTCGATTAAAATACAAAAGACAAACAATCGGGAAATAGGATCAATTTTAATACTTGTAAATTAAGAAGATGCTGGAGAAATGATGGAATCAATAGCAACAAAGAAAGTGAGTGAGACTAAGGTATTCAGATAAGCCCACATGCTAGACCTTAGCCTTATAGGAGACATTTTTAAGACTTTACTAAAAGATGTTATAAATACATCTTTTGGACATGTCTTAAGGACATCTTGAAAAAGACATCTTAAAGATATCTTTTTAAGACACATATTCCGGTCAATCTGTCATCTATGTAGCTTTTTTAGTAAGGAATTAAAAGTATATTTTTATGTACGTATTTTACGTACTTTAAATAATTGATAAAAATAAGTAACATTATATTTAGAAAATTAAAACAGAATTAAAAAAAAAGAGTTTTGAGAAATTATTCAGTTTATTTCAAGCAAAAAAAAAAAAGAAAAGAAAAGAATCTTGATAAATCTAATGTGTCGACTCTGACTAAAGCGATCAAATAATCTAGCCTGTTAAGTAGAAATAAAAAATTTTTATTCTATTAAAATTATGTAGCCCGACTTAGACCGATCGAAACTCGTCCCTATACTTTCGTGCAGCTTTCTATCAGCTTTTTGAACTGCTTCCCAGTGCAACCGGTACAAAACCGGCATATCGATTCGACCATCGATCGTTTTATCGTGGCGCGGATAAACGGCGCGCGCCCGTCTGATGTTTACAATTACAAATCTTGTTTCTGCCAGCTGATATTATGGTAGCACCGGTAGCCCGGGCGATGGTGAATGACGTTTAGAAACTGGAGGACGGTGGTTACGCTTGGCTAACCAAGACAATCGGGATCAACGGTCAGTCGCGCGCCAGCGTGTATCCTTGTTGCACCGGGAGTTGTGCACCCGCGACTTTCCTCCGTGCTTTCTATCATCCGTGTGCCTCGCGTCACTTCGCTCTTCGGCGACACAGCGCGAGGTGATTTGTGATCGTGCTTCCATTTCGAGATTGTGATTATCGTGACGCGATCAGTTTTTATAATTTACGCGTTGACGTGTTTTATCTCGATGCACGTGACCGCAATTCTATTTTGCGTAACTCCTGTTCCTTGTCGTCCCATTAAATTTATTTGTTATAAAATAAATTTACTGGGATTTATATGGTTAATTGAGGAAAGTTGTCAATAAGACAAACGCGGAGGAAGCTTACTTCCGCTGCTGCTCGTAATAAAGTTTATAAATATTGCAGAGATATTCAATTTTTCTTCGGAGAACAGGTTTAATCAGATTTAATTATAGCTTCGCATTTTATAGAAGATAGCGATATTTAGGAAAAAGAATGAGGGAAAGAAGTTAAGAAAGGAAACTGCTTCTTTTTGCTAGAAGAAGCCTGCTAGAAGAATCAATAACGTTTATTTCAAGAAACATTTTCTTCTGCTTCTTCCTTAATAATTTTTTCTTCAGCAGAAACATTAATAATTTAATAGTATAACTAGTTTTAAAGAAACAGTTCTGCTACTTTTCTTTCCTCATGTATCTTTTTTTTCAATAGAAATATAAAAACTAAACAATGTTTAAAACTAAACAAACTCTATTAAAAGAGAATCTCATATTTTTCTCCTTTAACTTCTCTTTTTAAATGCACAGATTATTTCATGCCGCTTCAATCAATATAAAGGAAACAATATAAAGTTGTCACTGGTGCTGTGTATGCAACGGATCACCTTTCTCTGCCATTTCTTTCGTCCAGTTCGACGCAAACTTGGCGATATATATCTTCGTGGAAACGCCGTGAAGAAAGGCACCATCGAACGAACGCAGATAAGATTCAAAGACCCAATCTGTCTCAGTCAGCAGTTGCTTAACGGACACTTGGTGTAGGATGAACGGCGGCGAGCATTATGCGCAAGTTACCGCGGTTCATATTCGTTCTGCTTACCGGTACGACGGTTGCAATCTTCTGCATGTTTTTACTGTCTCAGAGTTTCCTCGACAGAAGGTTCCTCGCATCGCGAAAAGAACACGTGTCCATAAGAGGGGAAAAAGAAGAAGATAAAAAATCTATCTCTGACTCAGGATTACCTAATGCGCGAGAACAGTTCGCAAGGATGGCATCCTTGGATGCACATCTACTGAGCAGAGGCTTCACGGATGAACAGGTAAAAATGAACAGGTTGCAAAAAATAAGATACATTTCACTATTTAATCTTTTACGCCTAATCCTTCACGTGCAAAATTAACTATTAGATTAGATACGCTAAGTTTATTAATCGTATCTCGCGATATCATCTGCTTTAGTAGCAAAAATGATCGACAATCATCAACATGTTATGCTTGATTCACTAGAGGGACACTAAGATCGTTGTATTTTGGCTTTTGTATTTTATTCTCCTTCCTTTATCTATCGAATTTTTTTCTTTAAAAAAGTAAAATAAAATCGCATATTCTATCACTCTATTGTTTTTTAATATTGAAGCCTATTGATAATTTTTGTTTTAAAAGAAATTCGAATAAATATTGTTTTTCTTAGGTAAGGAATATATCTGTTCTCGGAAAATGGTTGTTGGCACCAGAAGGGAGTTCACCTCTACAGTCAAACATTAGCAATAAAACCTATTTAATCCTAATTTGGAAGTACGGGCAATTTCTAGAACGCAGACACATCAAGCGTTTCACATCCACCAAGTTAGTGAATTCTAATTCTTTAATAGTTTTCTTTTTCTTTACCTAAATAAGGATATACTTAAATTAATACAAGCTAGAAATATATAATACATAGTATTAATTTCGACCTCTTATTATTTAGATCTCTTTCAATCTGATATTAATCATTTTATCTTTCCTTTTTATCTGACTTTGTCTTATCAGTGTAGGCGTGATTATTATTCATACAGCACGTTTATAGTTTGAAATCTAAAAATGATAACTAAGCGGTAAAAATATTATAGCTCGACCTATTTTCAAGCGGAGGATATCAAAGAGGATTTACAAAATTATACATTTTAGATTTTCACCATGGGATCAATGTTCAGTGCAGAATTGTATACTGAGTTACGACGAGAAGGATCTGCAGCGAGCAGATGCTGTGGTGTTTCATTTGCATTTCACGAAAAGTTCGTCCGAGTTACCGGCAAGAAGCCGGGCGGATCAACGATGGGTCTTCCTGACAGATGAATCACCCTTTCACACGTTCTTGTATGGCCATCAGAGTCTGTCGAACTACGACGGTCTATTCAATTGGTCAATGTCTTACAGAATGGATAGCGATGTGCCGGTTCCTTATGGAAGAACCATAAGAGTTTCTAATAACATTTCGACCAAATCCTGGCGTACTATCTTGAAAGCATCCAAGACCAAGTTGGCCGCTATAATGGGCAGCAATTGCGGCAGTCGTAACGGACGGTGGGTCTACGTAAAGGCGCTCAAGTCGTCCCTCCGTGGAGACTTGGATATCCTTGGAAGATGCCTGGACGGCAACAGGACCATCTGTCCAGGTCATTTCGACCGGGACTGCGCCGCCCTGGGTGCATACAAGTTCTATCTGTCGTTCGAGAACTCCAATTGCCGGGAGTACCTGACGGAGAAAGTGTTTTGGAACGCGTACCATAAATTCGCGATCCCGATAATAATGGGAGCATCGCGACAGGACTGCCAACAATTGTTACCGCCGCGCTCCTTCCTTCACACGGACGATTTTGCGAGCGTGAACGCGCTCGCCGACTACCTCAGATATCTGGACCACGACGATGAGCGTTATCTCAGGTATCACGAGTGGCGCGATCATTACCGAGTGATTAATGAACACGGCTATTTTGGCAGCGTCTCTAGGCATTACTGTCGCCTATGTGAAGCGTTGCACTACAATCCTACTAAGCCAAAGGTCTACACGAGGCTTGAGCACTTTTGGAGTAAGGAGAAAGATTGCACCCCAGCGAGTGCTTAGTCGTCGTTTTTTATATAATCATCTAGTCTTCGTGAAGCGGATTAATATAGACAATTTTTTATAGCTTTTCGGGAACTTTAGCAATTCAGAATGGTTTAATTCGAAAATCGAATTTTTTAGATTATTTTAGTTATAAAGATTACGGAAAAAAACACATTAATATAAATCAAAATATGTTATTATAAAATTATTATTTTTAATTAATGACGATAAAAAAATGCATGCATTTCCTTTGATATAAATAAATTTGGAATTGGAATTTTAAATCAACCATAAATTACGAATTTATCATTACGAATGATTGTCAAAGTGATGGAAGATTAATTTTAAATTATTTGTACTATTAAATTAATTATATTATTTGAAATCTAATTTATTTTAAAAAAAACATATACAATAATACAAAATATAATATAATATTTAATGACTTTTAACTTATTTGTGTATATTAGATTTAACATTAAATGTAATAATTAATAATTAATAAATATTATTGTATATAAGAAAACAATGTAAAATAACAATAAATATATATTATAATCTTTAATCAAGAATTTATGTTAATGGGTATCGCTATCCATTACATAAACTGAATTATGCATATAGAATTATGAAGTGTCTGTAATGAAAATGATGTTGCTCACATTTATAACACAGATTTATACTTGCCGCCTAAAACAAAAGTTTTTAAAAATTAGTTTTTAAAAGAACATCTGTTCGAGATTTTACCGTATAGAAAATGATGGGAAATTTAAAACGTATTTTTATTCACATGTTATTCACATTCATGAAGAATTTGTTGGATTGATACGAAATGTTGTGAAAAATCCTCTCTCATTTACGTGGCGTTCATTTAAATTCGAAACATTCGTTGATCCCTGAGTAGATTCTCCTACATCAAGCATCGTCGCGTTTTTTCGTCGTTCGCGGATGCAGGGATGCGGTAAGTGGGTGGGTGGAGACGGAGCCGCGATTGAGAGAAAAAGAAAGGATGAGGGCAAAAAGAGAGAAAAAGCAAGGCTCGCGCGATGCAACCGCGGGATGATTATACGCGTCGACGTCGTCATTGCCGCCGCCGAAGAACGAAGAGAGAGAGAAAGAGGGAGAGACGTGCACAGCGACGTGCGGGACGGAAGTAGAAACGCGATAGACGGCGACTCCGTACGTTGCAAATGGCAGACTGTGCGTGATTATCTAGGTAGAGTTAGACCGTCACTTTGTTCTCATCGTGTATCAACGTAATTCCTTTCTGTCGGCGAAGGAGCGGAAGTTAGTCTCTTTCTGGAAACCGACGGACGCGTCGTGCAAGTGGATCACGTCATCGAATTCTTAACACTTGGGGGGAGGAAGCGGCCGGCGAGCGAGCGAACAAACGAACGCACGAGCCTTGAGTGAGGAATCCGTGAAATCGGGATCGGAGCTCGATCCGGACGGTGGATCGTGGACGATGGCAAGGCTGGTGAACATTTGGCGGGACGATGACCCGGTGGAGTTGGCGAGCAAGCAAATGCCGCTGATGATCGACGAAAATCTGACGGTGGGTGAGCGTCCGCGCGCGCGCGCGCGCGCGCGTGCGTGCGTGCGTGCGTGCGTGCGTGCGTGCGTGCGTGTGTACTCGTGCTTGTACACGACGCCGATTTTCCTAACCGTCCAGCGACCAGCGCGACTCTTGGACTATGACGACGACGACGATGGTGACAGCGTCGACGCCGTTGTCGCTTTACGTAATGGAAGGTCTACATTATACACGCGGGATGTTTTTAACCTAAGCGTACAAGAATTCAGAAGGGAGGGGGGTGAAAAGAAAAAAAAGCAGATGTTGAATTGTGATTCTAGAGTTCGCCGAGTCGCCTGTCATGATCAATCGGCGATCGTGCGTTGTCGAAGTGTTGAGTAGACACAGAGTTCGCCAACTATGATTAAAACGAAGATAATCTTGTTATTTTTACACTTGCATTATTTGTATTTTTTTTCTACACGCGTGATTATATGATCTTTTGTTTTTCATATCTTATTTTATTATCTGTCGTTTGCATAGCAGAGATGCATAGCAGAGAAGTTGCATTATTTTGCAGATTAGTTTTGTTATAATGTCTTTAACCAGAACGTCAAACAGGAATTCTTCCTGTTTTACATTGCTGTCAAGTGTAGAGTGTGATTTGGCTCAATAAACAAAACTGGTTTACCATGAGATTTATTTGTTACGGTGTTCTTTTAGATGATTATGGATGTAAGTGGTTTGGGAGCTATCTGTGATAATCCCTTGATCAATGGCAAACAACTAGAAGAGTTTACCAAGAAACTGTCTTTACTCACAGCAGAAGAAATTAAGGCATCTTTTGAAGTTACTTGCAAGGATATGCTTGCTATTTTGGGTCAAGCAGAACCATGTGTTGGTTGCCGAAGAAGGTGATTGTTTCTTTTATCAAACTTATTAAAAATAATCTTTAATAAAATAACATATATATCATTGTCATTGCGCTAATAAATAATAATGAAATATTCTGTGTTCAGTGTTGAAAGATTGTTCTATGAGTTAATGAAATCAGGACATCCTGCATTAGATCCACTGGTCATCACTCCCGATGGTATGCTTTCTATAAAAGATGATGTTTTAAACTCGCCTCAACAGCTTTGTACATTATTGCATGGACACAGGTATATAGTCAATTGCATAAATTTTTTCTAGACATTTTCTAAAGATATGGAAGAATTATCATCATTATTTACATCTCTCCATAGCACTAGATTAAATAATTTAATGGAAAAACAGCAAAGGAATAGAAAATCTCAACGATGTGTACTGCATACTTTGGAGATTCAACGGTTACCACCAATATGGAACTCTTGGAGAGAAGTGTGGGATTGCATGGAACTACCATGTCGGCAGGAATTAACTTTGATAGAGACCGATACGCTTGATGAAGCTTTAGATACTTATCTACGTAAACATAGGTATATAATTTTGCGTAGATTATTCGTGACTTCTCTATAACACAATTGCGGTTGTCAGGTTTTGCGCCGAATGTCGAAACAAAGTATTATTGGCCTCGTCTCTCCTGACACGAGAACCTGAACCTACGAAAGAAAAAGGTTATGTAGCAGTTTTATATTCCGGAATTAAGCGTTGTATAGCCGATCATCATGTTCACTTACCAGCCATCACGGAATACATGACTACTCTCCTTGGTCGCGCACAACCGTGGGCACTTATGGGAAGGTACTGAGGAACATGTTCTTTGAAATATAACGTTTTGGAAAGAGTGAAGAAAGACTTTCTGAATTTTAGGGAGCGCCACGCGAAAACGCTGGAAATTGCTCAAGAGGAAGTACTTACATGCTTAGGAATATGTATTGCGGAACGATTGCACAGAATACATCGACGAATGAAGGAAGAAGAAACTGTATGTAAAGTATTAGCTGCTGTTGCAGTGGACGCGTTATCTAGGAACTTCCAGGTAACACGAATTCGTTTAATAAAAAATCTATATAATTCATACAATTAGTCAGTCTGCGGTAAAATTAAATATTTTATCTTGTCTAGATGGCAGTTGAAGTGAAACAAGGTATTTCTCAATTGGAATTATTGTACGAGGAACTCACGAGAGAAGAATTTGCGAAGCAACAGAGGCGTGAAAAATTACGACTCAAACGCAAGAAGAAGAAGGAACGTCGCAACGAAACAGAGGAAAAGGAAAATTCCTGTGATGTATGTTTAAATTTGTGTACAAGATATTTTTTAAAAAATTCATTGATTTAAAATTTTTTTCGCAATAGTCATAATAATATTAATATATTAATATGGTTATCCATGCATGACTGCTGAATATTTGCTATAGTGTTCAAATGAGAGGCAAAGTGAAACCCCCTGTACCTGTGCGGAATCGAAACCGACAACGCAAAACATCGATCGGCATAAAGTACATGAAACTTACTTAATTTTATACAAATATATGTCTTTCTGTAGATTAACACATCTCTGATCTTAGTTGCAGGTCTTAGATCCGAAAAATAAAGGACCACCGACGTGTAAATGTCCAGATTGTTTAAAGAAGCAAAAAACGCCTAGTATATCACAGTCGCAAAATAAGACAGAATTAGCATTCCCTGTGAAAAAGAGTCCACAGAAAATTACAGTTAAAAAAGATATCTCCGAAGCGAAGAAGAAACTTAGTACAAATAAATCAAAACAAAATAGTACATCTTTCAAACAATTATCTCAGGAGTCATCCGATATTTGCGAGTCATGTAAGGTAACTACGATTATCGATCTCATTCAATTGTTGTAATTTCCAAAATGAGAAATTTTAATTTTTTATTCTTGTTCCAAGGAGAGTGAGAAAGTCCATGATGAGAATCAATGGCATTACGATGACAACTGTAAAGATTCCGTTACTAACGAGTTGGTAGATGCTTGGATAACAGAACCTAGTGAGACCAAGTATACTGTATGGATAGAAATGAAGAAATGTTTTGAAATGACAGAGAGGAAAAATTCTTCGAGTGAACAATCGTCTCAAGACTGTGGATATTCTTCCGAACATAATATTAGCAGTTCTTCTCTTCCTAGCACACCAGAGGGTTCTGAAGTAGCTTGCAGTGATGAGTGGTGCGATCACGAAGGAACTTGTCACGATAAACTTAATCATTCCAGTTCTAGTATCTCTTTACTGCAGGGAGGTGGATTGACGCTTTCGCAAATGTTAAAGGTAAAATTAAAATATATAATGTACTCTAAATATTAAAGGTTTTGCTCTGTAAAATAACTTAAATTCAATGTGGTATCTACTTGATCATCAGGATTTTTCTGACGATGACGAAAAGGAGAGTTATATTCCAGTAGAAGAAGTGTTAGAATTCAAGTCAAGGATGTGTCAACTCACGGAAAAACGACAGGAACTTCGGCAAACACTCAGAGAACGTTTTGCCATGTTGTGCAACCATCAGAAACCACTTAACATTCTTCATTAGAGAAAGAATTCCTACTAGCTACGGTAATATATCTCCGTCGTTTTATTTTTCTTTCTTTTTTTTTCTACTTTGATTTACCGTTAGTAGCGAGATATGTGAATATAATAGACGTATTCTGAAGAAACTGTTATCATTTAAGGTCGACTTTCTGATGAATAAAGCACTTTATTATGTGTATATCAAGCCAAAAAAAACATAAATACAACAATATTTATCTCAACAATCAGAAAATTGCATCTAATAAATAAAAAAACAAATAATTTCGTATCTAACAAAGTTGACCATCAACTTTGAGAAAAATACGCAACGCGATCGAAGTACCATAAGATTAGTATAATCAGAACAACTTGAATATTGATGTATATCTTGAAAAATTAATTGTATAGATCTTTGCAATTTAAGCAAACGTAGCTATCTTGAATGAACAATGCCTTGGCCGTGAGAACATGGCAGATCCAATTACGCAGTAAATGCAAGTTGTTAAAGACAAGTTCACCAGTGATTTGAGAAGTATTTTTTCTTGAAAATTTTTATTTTCAAGATTGTTTACATGGCGACATGATTATAGCGGATTCGTATCAATGTTGTATGAGCAAAGATGCGATGTAATATGTCGGAATCTTAATATTAAAAATCAATGTTGCATTCCATTATAATATATATACATATATTTTATTATTCCAATGTATATATCCTCTTTGTGTAACTTCTATTACACACACATACTGTAAGAATATTCTATAAAAAGGATTATTATCGTAAATCGTACATATATTGTATGTTGCATAAAAATTATTAAAAATATTTAAGCCGCTATCCACTAGTAATCAGTTTATGTGAGATATCGTTCGTTACCACTAAATTCACTTTTCTTGAGCTTTGTTGTTTTAGATACATATGTACATATCAGTATATTTACAAAAGAAGTATCTTTCTATCAATTGAATAATATTGAAGGATCCACAAATCTGTTTTCTAGCATTTTAAAATGCTTGTTCTCGAATATTTCGAATACTTCAGTTTTCAAAGAATTACTAATAATTCATTCTATTAATGTTATGTGTATCGTATAACTCCCACGTTTATTTCACATCTTTTTTTTTATTCGATATTCATTTCTATGTGGATTCATAATTTAGCTTTGCGAGTTATTAAAAATGTAATGTGAGAATTATTTTTCCTTCATCTTCTTATATAACTTTCATAGATTTTTCTTTCGCAAAGTTTATTATCAAAATCTTTTTATACACATTTAGAGAAAATACTTATATTTTTTCATTAAAGAGATAAGGTACACTTTGAGAGACATTTCGGATTTAATCGACATATTGCGTGAAGCACAAGCACGCATTCGTTCCACCAAAACCGAACGCGTTTTTTAGAGCTGTTCGACGTGTTGTCAGTGCATTCCACTTCACATTTGTATGCGGCGCGAATCTTAGACTCGTCTTCATGTCCAAGTTGTGTAAATTCAACGTGGGAGGTATAACACCCTCCTTGATTGCTAGAATTGTGAAGGCTGCCTCCAAATTGCCGGCAGCACCCAACAAATGTCCATGCGCTCCCTTTGTGCTCGTCACTGTCACATTCTTGCTATGTTCACCCATTAGCGATTCGATCGCCTTCACCTCGATCGCATCACCCAACGGTGTGGATGTAGCATGCGCGTTCACGAGCGTTACTTCTGATGTTTCGATGCCAGCATCTTTCAATGTTCGATCCATCGCTAATAACGCCCCAATGCCGTCCTCGCTGGGTGCCGTTATATGTGAGGCATCGCCGGACAAACCGTAGCCCAGCACTTCCGCGTAGATGGGCGCATCTCGGGCAAGCGCATGGTTCAATTCTTCTAGCACTAGTATCGCGGCGCCCTCACCCATGACGAAACCATCGCGATCGCAGTCGAAGGGCCGCGATGCTTCCCTCGGCATGTCATTCCTCGATGTGCTCAGTGCGCGTAGTCGGCAGAACGCGGCTATAGCCAACGGACTGATGCATGCTTCTGCACCACCGCACACCATCACGCTTGTCTCACCACCACGAATAAAACGGAACGCGTCACCTGAAAGACATTCATTACAACTGTTTCTCGAATATGGGAAAAGCATTTATCACAGCTTGTATCTTTTGCTATCAATTACCGATAGCATGTGCACCCGTTGCACATGCAGTTGATACTGAATGATTAGGCCCACGGAAGCCGTACTTGATGCTAATCTGACCAGCGGCCATGTTCGGCAATATCCTCGGTACGAAGAATGGACTGACTTTGCTGTATCCCTTTTTCAGAGTTTCATATGTCATACATACATCTACCAAGTCTATCATACCGATCCCTACAGAAACTCCAGTGTCACGTTTATCAGCTTCATCAATTGGTTTCCATTTTGCATCTTCAAGTGCCTCTTCTGAAGCTATCAGCGCATAAGCAGTGGCAGGACACATTGTACGGAGCTCACTTTTTGTAAAGTGGGAGTCAATATTAAGCTCATGAGAGGAATCTCCTTTTGGTACCAATGCAGCTTAAATATAAATCAACTATTACATAATTTATCACATACACACGACAATAATTTTTAGCAATGGCAATTATTATAATATTTGAAGTATATATTCTGTGTATATACAGAATAAGATGTAGATAAATTTCGATACACATCCTATACGTTTATGACAATACCCACCTACTTTACACGGTAACTTGTCATAGTCTGGTTCAGAAAGCCGTGTAATGCCACATTTAGAATCGACAAGAGCCTTCCAAGCATTTTGCGTTCCGACTCCCAAGGGACACACAATTCCCATTCCAGTTACGACGACACGGCGCTTGGACCTCGCGACGGTCGACAGCGACCGGCTAATATGCAAAAATGGAATGGACATCGCAATTTCTGAGAGAGACCTTTTGCAGATGCTCTTCGATAATTATGTAAGATAATTACGTTAGTTGAATCATTGTGATTATCAAGATATTAGAAACATTTACAAAGCACATACAAAGTCAACTACATTGAGGTTATGTCTATTTGTACTGAAATATAAGTGAAATTACAGACGCTTTACTTTACCGACGATAATTTAAGTCTATATTTTTTAAATTAATTTTTTATCTCTCTTTTCCTTTCGAGTGTGGAAAAAAAGAAAGATAAATAATGCAAGCTTATCTAAAAAAATATTTTTATCTCGCAAAACATTCTATTTAAAATATAGAAAATAAAAATACATATCTTCGATAGAAAATATATGATTTTTAGAGTTGCTGACGCATTTTCTTTCATAATCATATACTATTTTTAATTCTTTAGTACTAAAAATAAAATAATTTTATGCAAAATGATCAGAAAGACGTTGGAAATTTATAATTTCACGATATTGTAAGTTGTACAATAAATAAAATATGCAGGGAATACGTTTAAAAACTTTATTTTGGTTTGCTTTGTAATTGGGAAAAATATATATATATATATATATTTATACATATATATGTTGTATGTACCTGTAGGAACTTTGGACTACAGATTATGTTGGGGACAATCATCGTTTGGGGGAGTAACATATTAAGTTAAAAAAAATTTTAAACATGCGAATATGTCACCAACGGAATAAAAAAACATCTTACTCTACTAAACTAAAATTAAAATTTCCCGTTAAATTTAATATACATATGCATTGGTAACAAATATAAAATGTTGCATATGTGATACATTTGATTCAGTGGACGCAGACCTGAATCATGATCACGCAGTTTATATTTTTTATGCGCGAAATTTAATATTTCTGTAAATCGAGAAGGATAAGAAAACAATTGGATAAAGTTTAAAATGCATTTTTAGAAAAATAGATTTTAAAAAGACTAGAATCATACGGAGAAAAAAAAGAGAATGAAAATATGACATCTTTTACGTACAATTTATCAAATCAAGTGAAATTGATTTTTACATAATATATCTGTTATATAACAATACATTAAATTCATATAAGATAAAGATTTATATATAAAAAAATATATAAAAAATTATTAAATAAATAGTATATATTGATTTTCTTGCACTGGGAATATTTAATAAGATTTTAACGATCGCTTCTTATGTTCCTTTTTAAATGCTCTATCCAATAATTTTCTATATTCATGATGTAAAATAGAGATAGAAAGAAAACAGATAATCCAAAATGACACCTAAAAATACAATATTCAAGTTATTTCTTTAACTTGAGCGTCCATGTTATTTAATTATGGAAAACAAAATTTACATATAGGGGCGGATTGAACAAGCAGAAAATATTTCTTTATATGAATATGTAATTCATGAATAATCATGTTAATTATTTGCAAATAATAAAACTGTGATAATAAATGATAATTTTTATTTTCCGAACTTGTTATAACAATACAACTAATTACATTATTATATAACTTTGAATTTAAATAATATAATTAGATGTTTTATTATAACAAATTTATAATATATTTATAATATAGGCGTTATGCATTGCAAGGCAATATAAAGGGATTAACGATCAAGTTCGAGCAAGAAAGGAAAAATTAACGATAAATAAATTAATCAAGTAATATTTTAAAGATAAATATTTCGAATTTAGTCCTCATCAATATCAATCAATCAAGAAAAAAAATAGAAAAAAAAAAAAATAAAATACATAAAAGGTAAGAAAAATAAACCATAATCAAAGTTATAATAGTAAGATTTTAGCGATAAAATCAGAGACAAATAGGTAACAATGATATATGAAGAAATGAACAGATAACATTTTTACATAAAACTGTAGTTAAATGACATAAACGTGTTATGATTAAGAGGTTGTGTCAAAGCTTAATAAACAATAATAAATGAATTAAAAACAATCTTCGTACAGTTTAACAATCCATTTCGAGTCAAATTTAAAAAGTCCATGCTTAAAAAATTCTCATAACTAATTCTTCAGTTGGTGACGTGAATTATATTAATTTCAATAGTATAAAGTTAGTTCGCAGATGTTAAAATTGTAAAAGTCCAAAACAAATTTTAAGTAAGGATGATTATAATTAAAAATCGTAAAAATATGAAAATGTAATTTCGTAAAGGAGTCTGTTTCTAGTGAAATATCAGTAGCTTTTAATTTTATCAAATCTTAAGAATGATAGTCAGTTGAAGTTTAAAAAGATTATCTTGTTTATTTTTTCCATATCATCATCTGTTCATATCTCTGATTTTATCGCAAAAACTTTATTACTATAACTTTGACTATTATTTTTATTCATTTTTTATGATTTATTTTTTCTCATCTTCCGATTTATTTGATGCTGAAGAGGATCGAATAACGTTCATAACATTCATCTTTACATAATTAATTTATTTATCATTAATTTCATCCATCTTTAATTTGCTCGAATTTGATAATCTCTTCTGTTAATCTCTTTATATTATACAACAAGTTTATTTTGTTCATTATATTTATTATGACAAATATAAATTTTATCTTGTTTCAATTTCTTAAATTTAAGATATCTATAAAATTTATAAGACATCTAATAAAATATCTTGCATCTGGAAATATTTTCTAATAAAAAATATTGAAAATATTTTTCAATATTTTTCATAGGACTGATGGTCCCAATCCGCCCCCGATCTTACGCATGGCACGCGATTAACCGACATTTTAAAATCCAACGCTGAACAACTTTCCTAAATTGTATAAAATTATATACAGCATCGCGTTATTTAATATTGTGCTCCCTCTTCGCAAAGCGTTTCGGAATTACTTATTCCTTTCCCTACTCATTTTTTTCGAGAACTCGAAAGCTTTCGACTAGTGTACGTAGTAAAGGCTAAAAAAAAAGAATACATAACACACGAGGCTCATTAACCAATGGCATTCCATTAATTTTCATCATTGAAAAAAAGATCATTGTTTTCCTCTGAAGCACGAGCAAAGTACGAGAAATTTCATGAATTCGTTCTGCTTTCAGCAGAACGTGATAGAGCGTGGAATTTTCTTCAAACTTTTTCAAGATGAGAGATCAGTAAATGCTTGTGATAAATAGGACATCATCCAGTCATCTCGTCAAAGATCTTTCTAATATCCATATGACATATACACATGGTAATCCTTCATTAATTCGCTCCGCATCTCAATTGTCGCTCAGTGAATTATACCCTTGAACTTCTTTTCTTGACTAGATTCGTACTCAGTTGTGCCGATATCTTTTGCCTGATATTGTATACATCGGGTCACAGTGATCTCGGCCGTTAAACGAGTTTGGTCTTGCTGTTCTCGGGCTCGGGTGGACAGTGATCAGAGTGTGTTGCCCATGCAGCAAGCTGTTAATATTAATATAATCCGTTACCATAAATATTAATAATTATTAATATAGATCGCGTGTAACATATTCGATTGACTTGACATGTACCTGACATGAACGACTGCAATACCACTGATTTCCGCATCCGGCGCATACAAATTGTGCGGGTCGAATTCTACATCCCTGACACTTTGGTGGGGCGCTTGGTGAAGGTGGATTGTCCTTTACTATTTGCTTGCCGTCCCTTCCAGCTATCGAGTTCCCTTTTCTATCATCGGTTGTTTCTTCTTCTATGTCCTCCTAAAAATATTAGTGGAAAGGTTAGAAATCAAATGTATGCAGAAGTTATAAAAAAAGCATTAAGAAATCAAAAAGAAAATTTACCACTTGAATTAAATCATTAGAATGAGATTGCGCAGGAGTGTTAACAACAGGGGTTATAGTTATCTCTGTGCGAGCCTGAAAAAAATATCTTACATTATCAAAAGAAAATAATTTATCTTTCGCCTAACTCATTATTTAACTGAAAATATTTTCAAACGCGAAACTCGAAAACTTATTTATTTACTATATATTATGTACATTCATAATTTAGTATTTCTATATTTATTTATATAAATATAAAAATAATAAATTTTTAAAAATAACATGTATAATAAATATATAAGATTAATACTGCTGGACAGAGTGATACAATAATTATGGAGCTTAAAGAAAATCACAGTGTTTTAATGATGACGTAAATTGCTGAAAAAAATAATATAATTATACAAGAATCAAGAAAAGTAAAGAACCTTGGAAGAAGACAGGAGATCGTTTATAGAAACCAGATTAGAGCCTTGGTATGTCTGCAAAAGGTGCTGGGTCGTGCCGCTCTGCTGTGACATAGACGCTGATGCTGTCGCGGCTGCTGCAGTCGTTGGAGAACTCCTTTCTCTTTCAGGCGCAGTGAGTAATCTTGCTAAAGTAGGTGAAAAAGTTGTGGATCTCGGTGTTTGCGCTTTCGTTAGAATTCCATGAAGCAACGAGCCGCTCGATTGCGGTGTATTCTGAGCAGATGAAGGAGTTACAGGGTGAAGTGTCACATCCGGATAATTTTGTGGTGTCTTGACTATTTCACCTAAACACGATGTTAAAATGCAGCTAGATTGCTTCGACATTCTTGATATATAAGAATTTGATTAATTTAAAAATTTGAGGAAATTGATGTTACCTTGCTGACTTAGCTTAGCAAATTGCACTAGCATATCTTTATAATTCATGGAATCATTGGTGCTTGGATTGCTCTTACACGATTCCGTGCTAGATGGTCTCGAGTCCGCGTTGTGTCCAGTTTCGACCATAGCACCGCCAGCTCCAAGATTGATATTTACGTTCGAACTTCTCATTCTTCGGCCTCTGTAATTGGAGAACATGTTTAACAATTCAAGAAATATATTTGTTCTCATAAAAGAATCTAAAAGCGTAGATTTCTTAATATTTAATATAAGTTATTATGGCTATAATCTTATAATAAAAAATCTGATGCAGATATCATAATCAAATATCAAATATTATTATGTAGCAAAATCTGTATGCATTTAAACAACAAAGACAGGCCTGTTTTTTTTTAATTAACTTAATCATTTAGAATCTTATTTTTTTATCTAAAATATATTTGTTATAAAAATATATTTTGATCATTTAAAAAATAATTAACAAATGAATGATCAATTCTGATGTAATGCAAATATAAAAATCAACGTAAAATTTAACGTAAATTACATTTAAGTTCTCAAAAATTATATCACTATATTATTTTTCTGATATAAATTTTGACATATCAAAAGAAAATATCATCAATACCGTATCATCAACCTTGTGTTTTCTTATTTCTTTTTTTCTTTCTTTTCTTATTCTCTTGCAACTCTTATAATTTACTTATAATTAATTACCTCCTTGGTACAGTTTCCGGGTGTTTAAGTCTGTGATCAGCAATGATAGATCTAACATCCACTATCGCACCTTGACGGCCTTCTCCAATTTGCCGACTTTCTGGACTTGCTGTCTCGTTTTGTTTACGATTGCTCTCGCCATTGGTTTTCGGGGGAGTCGCTCGTTGCTGTGAGCTAACTCTTGTGATTTTTTCTTTCTTCAAACACGAGTCCAAAGATTTTTCGCCTGAATCCTCTTTCGATTCAAAAGATTTATCTTTCATGGAAATAGTACTGCTGCTGTTCTCCCATTCGGCCAAGCCTAGAGATGGTTTAACTGATGGCGAAGCCTCTGGCAACTGACTGTCATTTTCCATGTAGGTTGTCGTTTGTATTTTCCTTTCGAGCCTTAGGTATGCTTCCTCCTTGAGTTTCCTCTTCCTTAAGATCTCATTCCATTCCATTTCTTTGGCATGCGCTAAATTTTCAAGAGCCTGTGAATAGATATTAGTAAATTTTCAAGAGCCTGTGAATAGATATTAGTAAAATACATATTGCGGAAACAAACAAGTTTAAAAACAAGACTCTATCCTTGATTAAAGATTATATCTCTAAACACTCACCAAAATATCAGCTCGCAACTGATCGGCCTTTGCCATAAGATCTTCGACGCTCTCATTGTTGTCACCTACAATACTTAAAAGGTACTCCTCTCGTGAAAAATCTTCACGAAACTTTTTTCTGGGATTTCCTAGTGAGATCAGCTGTCCGTTAGTTGACTTTCGCTTTTTGATATCGATGGGCTCAGACGCTGCTTTGACGTGGCGCGGCTGCACATTTTTACTCGGAGCTGTAGCATTTTGTCGCGACGTGCCAGCGAGCAGTTGCCTATCCCTCGTGTCTGAAGTTTCATTGTCACAGTCCGACTCGTCTTTTTTCTTGATGCGGGGACGAGCACTCACCGTTGTCGTCGGCGCCGCTGCTGTCTCTTCCGGAAGGGCGGCGCCGTTCTGTTGGCTCTGAGGTACCTTTGGCGACGGAGATGATCTCGACGACGTCTTATCGTCGGCTCTATTCTCCGCGACGTCCACCTTTCGCTTATTCTCGGCCGCGCCCTCCATCGCGTGCATTTTGTTTAAGCTGCAAACACAAAACAGTACTTCCATTAGCAACGATGTTCTTCATTTAGAGCCCATTTCAGATTCTGAAATTTGTATCAGAGTTTAGAGAGAGGATCGAGAAATGAATTTGAAATGTTTAAAATAACAGACTAATTATGTTTGATGAACAAGAGATACATTAGGTAACACATACATGTTGTATAATGGTTTCAAAATAGGAAGGGTATTTTTGATTGTTTCTTACAAATATAAAAAAAATTAAGTATTTCGCTTTTGTTCGCGATATTAGCAAACCATCCGTGTAACGAATCAAGTAACAGGTGTCATAAACTATACTATACGTTATCTCGATTATCAGTAAATCCGATTATGTAATAATCAACTGTGATGATTGTATATTGTTTTCAAACCAAACTTACGATTTTTTTACTTCATTATTTAGCACTGCTTTCTTTTTTTCTTTTTCATTACCAACAAGTACACTTGTTTTAAAGAGTTTAGATCCCATATCGCCGAAATACTTGTGACTTCTTTCGTGTGAGGAAATTCATACACAACAGGCAAGTTACATGCGCGCTTCCCCGACTATCGCGACCGAAGGTCGATCCTGCAAAACAAACGTTCGCGAGAGGCGATGGCATTGATAAAACGATAAAGTGCGGCCTGGTGTAGAAGCCTCGGTCGACCTTGCCTAGAAAATAGTCATTCGTCGGAGGCTCCAAGGACGACGACGCGACGTGGTGGTGAAACGCCACACGCGCGCACTATCGTTCCCCGCAATATCGCGCCGACGGCGCGCATATACGTGTCCTCACCACATATATCGCGGCGTAAATAAAATCTTCGTATCACGACCTGATTAGCCGGCCATGCTATAATTAGAAGCCGCGCGGTTTAATCGGCGCACCGTCAGCGTCCCGATTAATTAACGCGCGTAAGCGTCTTACGGGCCAGAGGCGCGATCTTCATCAACTTTATCGTGAATAAGTTTCGCGTGTGAGAAGACAAAAAGGATGGAAGGCCCCCTCTCCCCCGATCTTAACGGCGATCGACGGCGATTCTGCGGAAGTTCCGGGGCGAAAGGGCGCTGAACGAACGGGAAATGATTGGTGGCGTCACGCTCACTTCTTTATTCGTACTCGATTTAAGAAATTTGCAAGAATTCTTCAAAATATCTTTTCTGTTTCTTTCTCGTTTAGGTCAACGACATCCACAAGAGCCTCTATGCTTTGGAGAAAAAAAAAAAAAAAAAACAAATTGAGACACATGTATGTGCTTTGATTATTTAAACTAGTAGCAGGCTATGGGCATTCTAACAAAATGTAAGATATCTTCTTTCACAACAATAATTAATCAAATTCTCTTTTTTAACTGAATTCGTTCAATTATTAATAAAATGAAGCATCATTTATTTATATAGCAAAATTTAATTATGCAGTTATACACATACGTTAGACGTGTACATGTTTAAAGTATTAAATAAATAATATGAATGGACAATTAATGAAGAATAAGAAATAAATATATTTTCTATTGTTTGAAAAAATGATGATATTGTGTTCGTCAAACGCAAAGAAAACTTGTTTTCGCCTGCAACTTTTCCATTAAATACTTACAATTCTTTGGATATTATGTATCGTACTTTCTTGATATGACCATGATCCATTTGTAATGTTTTCTGATTCAGTAGAAAGAATAAATTACAGATAATATAATTACAGATAAAGTCATAATGTTTATATTAATAATCTTTTCTATGATTTTATTTACAAATAAATTTTTTATTTCAAATTTTAATTATACAAACTGTATATTCAAAAAGATTTACAATTCTCTTATTTTTCTGTTTTTACTAATTTAATATTAAATAGTATAAAAATAGTAGTATTTTATCTTTTATTAAAGAGACATCGGATATTACATTATCTTTTAATAAAGAGCAATAAATCGGTGACCTTCTTTTCCATTTCTATAACTTATTAATTTTTCATTTGCAAGTTTAACTTTAATTATTCATGTGTCCAAACTAAACCTGAGTATATATATATATAATCGGAGGGGGGGGGGAGAAAGAAAGGAACGAAATTTGACAAAAATACATTCTATGCACGCATTTCGATTGTATAAACTAGCTGTTAGATCATCTAGATAATGTAACTTCTAATGAATGTGTGTTATCAAATATTGCACAGAGTATATTGTGAAATAATATTAAGCTAAGGATCATTTAATCAAGAATTAATCGCATACAAATATTTATTTAAGAT